CCCCGTTAACACCGCGGCAGTTTGGCCGCACGGATCTGCCGACATGAACGATCCTATACATTGCTATGGGGACCGTTCATGTGACCAGTCCGGGCGGTCCGAACCGCCCCCCCCCCCCTCGCCTCAAACTACTCCCTGCACAATTTTTGATCAGTGCGGTTTCCATACAGCTTTCAATAAAACCGTGCTGATAAGCGCGGTTTTGGGTGTTTTTATTGCATTTCAGCGTTGAAACGCAAGTGAAAACTCCCAAAACCTCCCTTTTCAGATGAGCACGGTAACCATGCTGATCCGCAACTGCCCTGGTGTGAACAGGCTCAGGTTAGTATTACATCTCTTCTTTTGGAGGCAGGTTACTTTTGTTGTAGCAACGTTGTCACCTTAACGGTACCTCACCTTAAAGCGGAGCTCAACTCAACAGCCCTGTTCCTACCCAGAATTGCATATCCTAAGCCCCAAAAGTATTCCCAAACATCTAAATATTACTTTGATTAAAGGGTTTCTAAACCCTCATTTTTTCCATATATCTACTGCTAGCATGCAGTAGATATATGCAAAAAAAAAAGCTTTAAAAGCAGTTTAAACTTACCCCTGTCTTCGCCGCGCGCTCCCGTCCGAAAATCTGTAACTGCTTGGGCGGCCGCAAAACATCTTGGGGCGGGCGCATGCACGGTTCAGATTTTCAACCGGAAGACGAGGAGAGACGCAATGTAAGTCTATGGACGCGTGCACCCGCATGCAGACACCGCGGGATCGGAAGTGCCAGCAAGGACAGAGGAGCCAGCGCTGGATCAGAGACCCGCAGCAGCGCTGGAGGGACAGATGAAAAGGACAGGAAAGAAGAAGAAGATCGGATTAAGAAACATCATTTAAGGTAAGTGCTGACATTAACATTGGGGGGAGGGAAAAGAAAATTAGACTTTAATGTCACTTTAACTTGATTTAGACTGAAGGTCACAGCACCCTTCTGCCCACGAAAGCCAACTTCATAGATTTTGGTGCTCACGCCTTAGTTGGTCTCCTCCACGGGATCTGGCAACAGCAAGGGCGTTGTGAGAACAGATACACAGAGTTGCACAATGCAAGGACACAGAGTGGCACAATGCAAGGACACAGAGTGGCACAATAGAAGGATACAGAGTGGCACAATACAAGGATACAGAGTGGCACAATACAAGGATACAGAGTGGCACAATAGAAGGATACAGAGTGGCACAATAGAAGGATACAGAGTGGCATAATGCAAGGACACAGAGTGGCTATGCAAGGCCGTTGTTGCAGGCAGTGCTGGATATGTTGCAAGTGTCTGGTGCTTGAGCTAAACTCAACAAGCATCCTGTTCCTACTCAGAATTGCATATCCTAAACCCCAAAAGCATTCCCCAAATCCAAGCATTACTTTGATTAACCTGATTTGGACTGCTGGTCACAGCACCCTTCCGCCCACTAAAGCCAACTTCATAGATTTTGGTGCTCACCCCTTAGTTGGCCTCCTCCATGGGAGCTGGCAACAGCAAGGGTGTCATGAAAACAGGTACCATACCTGTGGACTTCGAGTTGACGAGGGGGCCTCTATTGCGCCACCTTTCCAACAAGAACACAGATAGGCACAATGCAAGTCCGTTGTTGCAAGCAGTACGGGATATGTAGCAAGTGTCAGGTGCTTGGGCCAGTTCACTGTAGAAAACAGGTGAAGGAACACAGGGGTACCAGAGCAAGCAACAGGAATGTAGACAGGATACAACCCGGGGTCAGCAGCAGCCAAGCAGCAAGGCACCAATTCAGGAGACAGAAGCAGATGCAAGGATGCAAGTCAAAGTTGGAAGCAGCCATGCAGCAAAGGTACAAGGCAGAAGGCAGTAACTGGAGTCAAGTAGGCAGGTTGAGGTCACAATGGGTAGACAAAGGTCCATGGGCAGGTCACAAGGCAAGTTATAACTGCATGCAAGAATAATTCATGTGGCTTGTCCTTAACTTTTCACATGTCTACAGGGATGTAGAAAAGAAGCTGAAAATATTCTACACCATTTGCAGCTTATTAAACAACAATTATGTTTTTGCATTCAAAATAATCCTGCCGTGTATTGTGTGGACACTGTGCCCCTCCCCCATTATAAAAGGCATTGCATACATTATCAAATAAAAGAAATCATCGTTCTTTTCACTTTCATCTTTTACAAATATCCCACTGAATTCCTCTACAACATTGTATGTTTATCTCCAAGTGCCATCCCCTATACTGTAGTGCAGTCAGGGAAGGTTTGTATTGTGTTTTATGGCGGCGATCAGCCCCCGTGAATAAACCTGGAACATTCAGACTTTCCTTTTATGCCTTAGCTGCTTTCACGTCTGCTGCGTTACAATAGGTGAAGCAATCTGAACCCTTTGTAGTGATATAGCTCGAAATTCTCATCCAGATTTACTGACATCAGCGCCGAATTCGGGATAACAAAATCTCTCCGCTTTTCTTTGTGTGCCACCGGAGAGACATTTGATCGCCGGGAACTAAACAAAAAAAGATTAAAGTTTTGCTGAGTTGACCGGTATCAGTTGCCACAGATTCACTTGGCTATTCAGGAGCCTTGGCGCGGAATCTGAATGTTGTATAATGGAGCGGGCCATAAGGGGTCACTCTAAAAAGACCTAAAGCTAATCATCCAGATGTGGACAAGATGTCTGGTGGCAAAATCTGGCCGCTAAAGTTTGGAAAGGGATTGGGGTCCTGCTAGAACTTTGTTTCTTAAAGTGTAACTGTGCCCAGACTATGGACATTAAAAAGGAGACCCAGATAGAAAAATCACCCATACAGTGAAGCCAGTGTTGTCCTGCTGTGATCTGCCAATCCCCTGCCACACACCCATGCCGCCAAATACGCCATACAGTTGGCGTATGCACAGAAACAAAGGCCAGGTCTATGGGATCTGGCTGAGACCCATGGCGGTCCTGCCGCCTGTCTGCACATGTGTGAAATCTCGCAAACTGCCTGTTGGAATGTGTGATGCAGACATTCCAGGAGGCAGCCGGGGACCAGACGTGTCACCCCACACCTAGGCATAGATTAAGTATGTAAACCTAAAAAATAGGGCTGGGGAAATTAATTCCTTGATTAATTGTTAAACTTTTTGATCGATTAAAATTCTTTTGATTGAAAATGATAAGACTCACCTCTCCGCCGGTTTCCGGGAGTCCCGTCGGAGATCCGGTGACGTCACGGACATCGACGTCACCGGACTGCTCCCCCCTTCCCCAAGTGGCTCCGTCGGCTAACGAAGGGAAGGGGGGAGGAGTCCGGCGATGTCGATGTCCGTGATGTCAAGTGTGATCCTAGTTCATTTTATTACTTCATTGCTGGGCTGTATGTGTATAGGCCAATGTAGTTGGATCTGTATGTGCGTTATAATTAATCGAACACGAAAATTTTAATCATTACCGCCCTACTAAAAAATGGTATTTCCAATTTTGTAAGAGGTAGCAGGTTCTTTAAATGGATGAAGGTCCGCTTTAAAGTATGAACATATCCTTATCACAACGAAGACTCTGATGTCAGATTCAGTTTCTAACAGCTTTCAGCACCTGCGGTTTGTTCACATTAGAAGGCTGGCAGGCTGCCAAGTTTCTGCTGCCATAAAAAATAAGGGGAAAAGAGCTGCGGATTCAGTGCTTCTGTTGTGAGATTTGAAGATTAAGTGTTCCACAATGTCTATAGCTACAGAGGTCAGTCATGGATTGTTTTTTAAAGGTCCTTTGTTGTTTGATCAGAATATGTAAATACTTAAAAGTGCCCATTCTGGGTATAGTTAACACTTTGTCCAAAACATGGGTGAATATGTCATTGACGAAGTGAATCCAAGCTTACACAGATTGGTTGTCTCACCTCTTGCCCCAGCAATAAGAATTGAGAGAACATATTGCTGGAGCCCGTGGTGGATTAATTGTACCGTGGACTGTTTTTGGTTAATGGGCCCATTGTCAGTCTAATTTGATCAGGTATAGGGGTCAGTGTACACAGAAATTTGTTTTTGACATGGGTTTTGGAAACGTTTTTCTGTGGGGTCTGGAATGCATCCTTTGATTTCAAGCGGCAGTATATGCAAATGACACATATGATGGTGACAGATAATGTGGACATAACAGTACCAAATTCATGGAGTGTGTCTACATATTCTGTATAAGCATTCAATATCCCTAAAGGAGAACTATGGGGTCAGGGCTTTTCCCCATAGTTCTCCTTAGGGTAACGGGAGGACACAAACTAGTGTCCTCCCTTTACCCTAAGCTCAGTATACCGCGAGCTACAGCTCGCTGTATACTGAGACGCCGCAGCCGGAGCGGATCCCGACATCGATGTCAAGATCCGCCCAGCTGCGTGAGTGACAGCTGGCTCTGCCTATCTAGAGGCAGAGCCAGCTGTACCCGCCCCCTCCCCCGTCCGATCCGCCAGTCAGCGCTGGCGGATCGGAGCGTGGAGGGGGGAATCTAGCCCCTCCCCTGTCACGGCAGAGAGCCGTGACGGGGGCGAGAGGTGAGAGAACGCCGGTATATGGTTGCTACCCTCCCGATCTACTGAGCCGACCTGTGACAGTTTCATTGTCACAGGTCGGCTAGAACTATGAGGTGAGTGAAAAGCACTCATCTCATAGTTCTCCTTTAAAGGAGACGAGTATTAAGAACAGTACGAATACTGCCATTGCCAAAAACATTCTGACAAAGGTCTAATGACATGTAAAGCTGGACTTGATTTTTGAAGTGCACAACTTTTTTTTATCATCCTCATGGGCCCCCTTGAAGTCTGAGGCCTTGGACAGCCACCAGTTGTGCTCTTATGATTGTCCTACACTGGCTGGAGTCACTGACAGATAAAACATGCTAGAGCTAGCCTAACAAACAGACTCGAGTTGTGAATAACCCTATAAATATCTGTGCACACTTATAAAATCTCAACCCTACTGAGTGTCACATTACCATACTTAAATATTAAAATGTGGTTTCGTTCCTTTCCAGAATGCCGGCATCCCTTCCACCACAATGTCAGACCCAAAGTCGGTGTGTGTGTCCTTGGACGAAGTGGTCTCCAACTGTGCCAACAGCCAGGATACCCCACTTCTTAATGGACATTTAAAGAAGGTGGACAACCACCTCACCGAGGCTCAACGTTTCTCCTCTCTGCCCCGGAGGCCTGCCGTGAACATTGAATTCAGGGACCTGTCATTCTCGATTCCGGAAGGGCCGTGGTGGAAAAAGAAAGGTGAGGCATGTCATGAATATTAAAAAAATGCAGATTTTGGAGCAGAATGCCAGATTTACAGATTGGTGGTTGGCAAAACATCCTTGGTTTTTTTTATAATTGTTTTTTTACATAATTATATTATACTTGGAGTAGACATGCACGCATGTTACCTGCTGTACTTCCTGCTGAGCAGTGTAGCACAGTAATTCTTTACTCTTCCTCCTGTTTATAAGCAAGTCTTCATCAGTTTACATTGAGCCTGTCTGCAGTCTGCACTGTAGAGTGTACAAAGCAGCATGTCAGCAGAACAGGACTGAAAATGAAGAGGGCACTTGGAATCCCTTTTTGTGTTTTGCTTTCCGCAGATGGCTTTCTGGAATTACATGATGGTATATAGTAGATAGGCAGGAGTAAGCCAAACCCCTGCAGGAGTAAGCTAAACCCCTGCAGGGGCTGCCTTCCTCCAGCAGTTTGCGATCTGTATCTCTTATGATTACATAAGTGCAGTATAGAAAATTTAAATGTATGGGTCCTGGAATTGCAGACAGTAAATAAGACAGGCATGTGGAGCAGATGCCTTCCTTGTTGTTCTCAGTCCTGGTCTGCAGATAATGGTCTCTACACTGTAAATTACAGACTGCGGAGAAGAGTGTAAACAGAGCAATGCTTTACAAGTCTGGGCCTATGGTGAAATCTCCAAAAGCATAGAAAAAGAAAAGGCACAAGTAAGTGGTTTTTAAAAAATTGTCTATTGATATGATAAAAAAGCTCATATGTTTAAGCGGTCTAATTATCCTTAAAGACGTGTGGCTTGTAAAGTTTTCATTAATATATTGGGAATATACTAGATTTCAATAGATTTATTGGTTACATAGAAAAATATACTTCCAAGAGTATACAGGGGGCTGCCATTGCACACCTTTTCTTCTGAACATTCTAGTTGTCTGGCCAGCATGCTAATCTAATGGCTTTAGGACTTCTGATTCACTGACCAGGGTCTCGTATGCACTAAGACTCGGTTCACACCTAGGCGTATCGAAGATGCGCATTTATCACGCGTTTCGTGCCGCGCACGATAAATTGGAGGGCTACCTGGCTGTATCCCAATGGATACGCGCGGCAAATACGCCCCAAAGAAGCTCCTGTACTTCTTTGGGCGTAGGGCGTTTTGCAGCGCATTCCTACGCGCTGTAAAACGCCCAGGTGGGAACCATGCCCATAGGCAATCATTGGTTTTCACATGTTGAGCGTTTTACAGAGCGTAGGAACGCGCTGTAAAACGCCCAGGTGTGAACCAGGCCTTAAGGAGTTCTAGCTGCTTTAACGTCACTGGCTATGTGCATGTTCCAGGTCAGTTCAGATGTCATAACTCATAGTCCCTTAGCATTACTTTTAGTAATGGCAGCCTCCATATTTCTTTCTGCAAAGGTTTAACTTAAAGAGTACCTATCATATCTACACTGTGTATGTAGCTGAGAAAATATTAAACCTTTGAATTCAGCAGAAACTGAGCCAACTGCCGGCTTCCTCTAAAATTACCGTCCAGTCCATCCATTAAATGTTTGCATGCATTGCTGAAGGAGGCAGGTCTTGATGCAGAGCATTTGGAACATGTAACTTGTTTTCCTGTTCTGCTTCCTGCCTCATTTTCCAGACACGAAAATAAATGATTCATAGCAGGCACTGTCTTGTACCCTCAGGAGACCCCATGGTGATGTTTTTGCAATGTCAGTGCCTTTTTGTTTTCCTCCAGATCATTTCTGTGTCTCACAAGGGACCAGGAGGAACGTCACTGATGAGGCGGTGGTGCTGCCTTTCCTAACGCAGGCACATATTTGACAGAGACTCCTGATTTGTCCTGGAAGCTCACTCTTTTCCAGGGAATCTTCTTATTTATGTGTTCATTGGCTAATCTTCATCTAACCTCATGTGGTGGGGTGATGGGACCCTGTTCTGTCCAAGGTGGCAAGGTCACCTTTGAGTTTTCTGGAGAGGTTTTAGGGGATCTTCCTCTGTGGTCTGGTGCTAAGTGAGCCTTAATCTTTCATGGATTTTCTTGTAAGTCTATTACATAACATATGATGTCACTTCCAGGACTGCAGGGGTGCTTGGGATAGGCCTCCCGAAAGGGCGATTTTGTGCATGCTCTACGTCAGGGGTCTCAAACCGCCGGCCCTCCAGCTGTGGTGGAACTGCAAAATCCCATGAGGCATTGCAAGATTCTCACAGCCACAGACATGACACCCGAAGAGAGATGCATCATGGGAATAGTAGTTTCAACAGCACAAGTAAAATCTTGTGCCTAGCCATACGCTGAGTGAATGCCGTTCGCACGACTACCAGTCCAGTAGGTGGTAGAAAATTCCTGTGCTCCTCAGCTCCATCTAGTGGCAGGAATGCCATGTGAACGGCAGTTGCCCAGCGTATGGCTGGCCAGAATATTTGATAAATCAGCCCCTTGGTGTTGCCCTAAGCACTGGCCCACAAGCACCATCATGGCGAATACAGTCCTGGTTGTCATCCTTATTCTAGGCTCACTACATAGCTAGCAAATTTAAATTACCCCTTTCCAGGAAAATGTTAATTAACCGCGCAGCAGAGAACTTCGCAATGTGCAACTGTATATGTGTGTGTTCCTAGTTCTCAGACCCGTTGTCATACAGACAAATTAGTCATAGCGTTATTGAAAAGTTAACTGACACTGCTAAACATGGTCTAAGCTCCACAAACATCCAGTAACAAAAGGGTTAACCAAGTGTAATCACCACTTACAGACAGCAAGTCATTGTGTATCTAAACAGCTCTGGGCCCCCTGTACTTCTGGGCTCCATAGCAATTAAATGACTGAAATTATGCTCTTGCTCACTGACCCAAACAAACAAGCAAGCAAATCGGATGTCCTGCATTTCACTAGCTGCATATACAATCCAAATACACCACTGAAAATATTTGAGAGCGATGGCAGGTTCCATATTTTGGTGCTTAGAGGTTTCCTTTTATATTGCAAGTGAAGGAATTGTCAGCAAGAGGCTGACATCAAGGTAAAAAATGATTTCAAAGTCTGGCAGCTGAGAGGTTACAGCCCGCTAAATAAAAGGACGGGACTACGATTAATTCCTGGACTTTCAGAACCCTTTAGAAATTCTTTTTCCCAGTAGTGACAGTCAGTCATCTTCTGAAGAATAAAATTGCAGGTTTGTGCGGAAGGTTATTAAGTCACCTGCTGCCTGGATGTTGCCTCACCAGATAATGGTGTTAAGTATAGTGTTCCTTGAAATGATTAGAGCTTGTAGGCTTTTAATAGGAATGATGAATCAGAGAGAAGAGCAAGCTGCGAGCATGCTGTGTCGTCTCTCAGCTTTCTCACGTTCCGGTAAGTGCTCAGCTCCATGCGGCCTGATGTACTACAGTGTGTCTGTGTGACTTACCAATGTCAGCCATGCTCTGAACATGAGAAAGAGGGCCTGCCTTTTTTGGGGTATTTTAGAGTATTCATAGAAATGTTTAAAGGGCAACTTCACTTTAAAAAAGTTGTCCCTTAAATAATACCAACCCAGACACACACCCACACCCTCCTGGGTGTCACCAGCACTGCCAAGTTCTTCAATATGCAGCTCTTCCTGGAACCCCACAGCTTTTGTATCCAGAGCATCCCATTTGGGTCCTCTGCCTACTGTTGTACATGCACGTCTGCCCTATTCTTTCCTATGGATGATCTACACTCCGCTGGATGGTCAGGGGCCACCATTAGTACAAACAAGCAATAGGAATGAATAAAACCGCAGAACATGTATGGAGTAGGCAGAGGACCTGGGATGCTATTTCGGCTAAATGCCGAAAGTGCCATTTTCCTGCCGTTCTGTCCGCGCAGCCCTGATTTCTTTCATCCCCGTTGGGCGCTGCTCTTTCTCCCAGCAGGGAGGAGAGAAAGTGACAGCCAGCCGAGCTCTGCGGGAGGAGACCGCCGTGATCGGCCGGTGTCTCTCCTCCCACACCGCTCAGCCGCCTATCACAGTGCGGCAGAGAGGTGTGGGGAGACAGCGCTGTCACAGGAGGCTGGGCTTTCCTTCCTACACCGCTCGCTCAGCCTCCTCTGACAGCGTGTGTCTGTGTCAGAGAGGAGAGCAGTACAAGCAGTCAGTGATCGCTGAGTGTTTGTAGATAATTGAGGACATGGTATGGTTACTATATCCTCAATTATGAATGAATGGGAGTGATCTACATCTCCTCCTGTTCATTCATAATTGTAGTTATAGTAAACATACTATATTCTCAATGAACAGGAACACTCATAGAGGATTCCTGTTCATTGATAACAGGGGACACAGAAAAAGAGATTGAGGACTCTGTGTTCTCAATCTCTTTTTCTATTTTAAAAGGGAAATATCAGGGGTCTGTTTAGACCCCCAATATTTCCCCGAAGCCCCATGACTCTGGTTACGCCACTGTGCCCGTGTGACCATAAACTGCTATGGTAGGGATCCAGCCCATGTGACAATAGACTGCTATGGCAGGGAACAAGCCCGTGTGACCATAGACTGCTATGGCAGGGAACAAGCCTGTGTGAGCATAGACTGCTATGGCAGGGACCTAGAAGTGCCTAATATTTGGAAGTGGAAATAAAGAGCTGGACCCGTGTGGTTATTCTGTTGCAGTTTCTAATCAAGTAGAAGTTAAGTGATGTGAATATGTGTGATCTTGCTATCAGGTAGGCAGCTTTTACAAGACAAAGGATCTCCACAGTATCCTTGGCTCCACAGTGAACACAGTAGAATTCAGTCCTGCCAAACCAGCTGCTGACAAGCCTGAAGTACTCCCTCCTCAAATCAATACAACTTTTGAGCTGGAGGGATTGTATTCCACATACTTTATCTCTCTCATTTCTGTCATTAAGCCCTTATGAATGTCTCCCATTAAGCTCTGATAAAATGTGTTGGCTGCTTTACTTGAATGTGCCCTGATCCTAAATAAATTAAGTTGTATTTGGACTTTTTTAAATTTGTCCTGCATCTACTGTG